TTCTCAGTGACTCGCAAATGTCGTATTTCAAAAGCGCGTCAAACACACCTGATATATATATATATATATATATATATATATATAAATAAGTGACTAGATTTCCATTGGGGAGGAGTGTTCTCAGAAAACTGTCAGAAAGGCGACATTTATACAGATCTTAAATTGTAACGTGGCATAAAATTTTCGGAAAATTGCAAAAGTTCAACATAAATTTCGCTGAAAAGCATTTAGTTCTGCATTTCGTATATGCCAGGTAGATGAGTAGAAGAACTTTGGTGTGCTGTCCTTGCAATGTAAAATGTCCTTCATCTACGCTGCCCTTCCTGTTTCATGTATTTATACGAATTCTTTTGTGATGAAATTCGTGCTGTTGACAATTTTCTGGGTTGACGTAGATTGTCTTGACAATTCTTGGGAGGTGAATTGGTAAATAATTTATTGAAACTTAAATTTTGCGATGATTCTTCTGGTCTTGTTCGTTTGATCATTAGATTTCAACTCTTTTAACTCGATTGACTTTGCCTTTAGCAAATATTCTGGTTTTTACAAGCGAGTCACCTTACTGTGACCTTTTGTTTTTCGTGGAATATTCTGCTAATTGTTGTTAATCTTTGTCAACAATCGTCACTTGCATATGGCAGTCTCATGTCACTTAGTGTTTTCATAACAATCTATTCGTAATGAGGACAAGGCTTTTGCAACGATCTGGTCTGCCTGTCCTACCATCGTCTTTTCTTTGTACGCCCGCGATCGTAAGGATAGCTCTAGGCAACCAAAAATGTATGTTTGAAAATGATTTACCAAGTTTGAAGATCGGAGCGTACAATAAGCAGAATATTTGAGAGAAGTAATAAGAAACATATTATACAACCGCTGAAGGAATGAAACAGATATCGATTTAAAAATTCTCAGATCCATTTAAAGTGTGATGCTGCCTCTTGAGTGCCTTCTTCAATGTCTTTTTTTGCAGAGTATATAAAATAATTAACGATCACCATTTTGGACACGCACTGTAGATTAAGAGTATTTATGTATTGGTTTGTGTGGTGCGGAAAGATTAGGTATTACGAAAATCCTATTAGAATACCACTACGACGGGCAGAAGGGAGAGGAATTTTGAAAATTGAAATTTTTTTCAGACTAGGGCGTTATATGGGGAGCAGGCGGATCGATCCGAAGCATTCGCCCTTGGGCCAAAGTAAGTCTGTGCTACAAATCTCATCAAAATATCGTAAAAATTGCGGGATACAGCTCTAGGCAACTAAAGAACGTGGATAGACATAGGCTGACAGATAGCCGTCTCAAAATCATTTTATTTGATAAAAGAAATTGCCTTGCAAGAGCCTTTGGAATATTAGTTACGTACTAGTCCAGCTTAGATAGAGAGGAATTTTTACGTCGTCAACAGTTTTTGACGCAGGACTGAACTTTTTGTGTGACTCGCAAAAATCGAAATCACTTTTCCAATCTATTTAGAACCGTCACTGCCTAAAGCCTCAATCGGGTGCTCACTTTTGCAGCACTTCCAATTCTCGTTTTCTTAAAATTTCAACCATAGCTTCGGAACATTCTGTAACCATGTATGTATGTGTGTGTGGCATTTTTTTTTTTTTTTTTTTTTGGTTAACTTTTAACGATTTTACAGCCAACTTTTGATAGATGTGGTCAAAGGTAAGTGTTTTCGGACTATGTTCGATGCCATACTCTGCTTAAGTCCATATATGAGGACAAGGAGGTTCTATAACTCAAATAACTACAAGGGTGAATTCTTTTTGTACATGCACAGAGAGAAAGATAACAATACTTGAAATCTGTTTCTTACATAAAATCGAGAAATTGAATTTCGGATTTGTGGGACAGCGCTACCCTTTAAATGATCAATTTAAAGCGACTTTCGATCTTATAATTTACGTGGGCGCTCGTTTAGCTCTAATTTATAAATGGATTAATGGATGCATTAATTTCAATAAGACACAATTTCGTTTTGTGCTTCTCTTGTGGAAACTCGAGTATAGTTTGTGCTGCCGTTTGGATTTGTGCAATGTTATCCGCTTGCTAGGTAAAAAAAAGAAAAAACAAATTCGTTCTTATGGCATACGATGTATAGATATATTACGCGTGACACCTAATGCTCTGGTGAACATTTTTTTTTTTTTGCTATGGGTATTGTACATTAATGGAGATAGTTTCGTACATTTTTTTTTTTTTTTTTTTTTTTTTTTTGCTTTCAAATGTAAACATTGAACATATTTAATGCATTTAATCGGATGTGGGATGGAAAAATTGTGAAAAAAATATTGCCTTTAAATCCCATGGCATGACATTAATTTTTTATTCATGCATTCGTTTTTGCGTTAATATAACGACGAAAACTTTTTTCCATCGATGCAAAATTCCCATTTGGTTTACAGTCCCACTCATGCTATATTTTTTCAATTAGGAAATTTAACAAGTTTTAAAGCAGCTGTGGTTCATTTAAGATGAGAAATAGCATAATGTATGCGATCTACTCTAACTGCAAGTAGCGATTAGTAAGAAAGAACGAACACATTAAAAACAAACAAATTTTATCGAGCATAAAAGGAAAAACCGACGTCCAGCTGTCCATTGGAGGACGTGCTATAGCTTAGCATGTTGCTTATACTAAACTATACGCATCAAATAGTTCCTAAGTTTCACTGTCAAGATGTTTTACTTATTTTTACATTTTCCCCTTTTTTAATTCCCAGAATTTTCAACGGAGTGTTGACAGCATTTCCTTTTTTATTCCTTTGCTTCTTTTTTTTTTCTTTTTGCATAGTTCGTTATAGAAATTTTATTGAAAACTCATTATCAATGGAATACATACAAGCTTATCAAGCATATCTAGCAAGAGTGCTACTACGTAATTCAACTAAACTGCATTTGTTTGCGTGCATTCATGATCTTCTTTCAGAAGAGCTGACATTTTCCATTCTTGTTCGCCATTTGAATGCAGATTCTAATGAATTTTATAGGAGATGGTAATTGAGATGACTGTTGCGAGCAGATTACGTGGGTGTAGCATCACTTTTTTCCTCATGGCAGGCGGCCACTCTAGTGGATCGTAATGTAGATTTTTTAACAAGAAGAAAATTTAAAAAATAATAAGCCATTTTTACGATACGTTAATGAAATTGTTGAACCAAGTAAGTTATATAATTTATATAATTTACACAGGCCTTGTGCTGTCGACATAATATAAAATTTTTGTTTAGTAGATTCTAAAAAAGCAAATTCTTTCATAACATACGCACATATACATATATATATATATAAATCTATTTATAAAAAGGAATTTTATGTAAACGCTATTATTGGTGGCCATTGGTTACAGAAACAACTCACAAATATTCATCTTAGAGCGAATTATGCATATCCGCCACCTCTTGCTAGATATTTTACTAATTGTAGGCGTGAAGGCAATTAACAAATAAGATATATATGCACCAGATTTATATCAAAGCAAACTGTTAGAAACAAACTTTCATCTACGGGTAATGTATTTGTTGACAGCTGTTGACACTTCTCTAGTTCCTGATTTTTAAATCATTAGTTGCCCTGAACTGCAAGGTGCATAGTTTAACCTTCATCTAGAGTCATCAACTAAAAATTAAAATCTTATATTATAGTTTTCTTTACAACAACTAGCGAAATGAGCCCAGGGAGATCTTACGCTTGACAAGAATGCAATAAATCCAATGCCAATAATTTCTGGTAATAAGCAAGAAAAATATTTTTTTAGCAAAATTCGTCTTTATCTTACATTCAAGAGTTATACAATCAATCCATTGATTTTCTAACATTCCGATGACTTTTTCATAAAACGATTCGTGTCAACACCATCGAATTACGGCTCAGATTCAGCACCATTTGATCCAAATCTTTTTACTTGACGCATGGTTTCGAGATTTGCACATAGATAGGCACTGACACCCAAATCGGGAAAATATGTTGGCCAAGATAGCAAATCGAGCTTCAATTCGTATAATGTCTTCCTTACAGTCTTTGACAGAATCGTAGATGTATCTGCTGGACTGTGAGCTAACATGGTAACGTATTTAGGAAAAGGCTTTCCTTTGCGTAAACCTAATTTTTTCTTTTTTCAATAGGAGCAGTTTCTCCGGCGAGATCTCCTCTTCGTGTGACACGGAGACGATCAGCGGGAAGCGAGGGAAACAAAGATATAGGGAGGAGGTGGTCGCAGCATAGTGAATGCGTGCCCAGATCAGTAAGTGTATGCCTTTACCGATTGAGCACACCCACTATAGCTGCGATCAAAGAAAGCTCTACTGTACTTTGAGATTTGACTCCACAAAAACTGACTTGATAGCCATGGTACTTATTCTGCTGCTCAAGCGGATTAATAACAATGGGTACAATGCGTTTTAATATCCTTAGGTTTGGGCGTCTACTGCATTCAATGGGTTAAAAAATCAATGAAATGCAAAATTTTTCTCTCTTTGAGAGAATGCAGTGCCTTTGAAAACACCCCAACACCGTTTCCAATAAAAGATTGACTTTTTTTGTTAGTATCACAATTTGCAGCCGACAAGTATGGCTTTTATGTGCATTCAAAAAATTGTGCAGAAATTGTGAAGGAAAAAGAATTTTCCTTTTTTTGCAATTTAAAAAAGTGAACATCCACCTGTGGTGACGGTTACTCAACTCTATTACATACTTTATAATGCTCTTCATGCCCATTACTTAACGCAAAGACAAACGCGGTTTGCTTTCGCGTTTATAAGAAATGAAAAATTCGTATTAGTAAGAGAACAACTTTGTATGTGATATGAAAAAACTTTAACAGTTGATGATACAAGTGTTTTAATTAAAACAAAATCTTTCTATAGCCAGAAATAAAAATATTTTGCCATAAGTGTATATTCGTAGCTTTTCTTTCATGGTTTTGTACGTTCTTTCTATTTCTTTATGTCTTACATCAATTTTCTTGCCACTGAGTATACATGGCTTCTACTTACCACGTGCTCGCGGTTTCGTCAGCAGCTTCTGTACGATGTTGTCGTAGGCAATCTCTTCGGCGACACCAGAATCTTTTACCAGCTTTTCTTTAACAGCAATACAAACACTATGGCGAGCAAGTAATTCTTCCAATTCCTCAAAGGCCTACAAGTGAAAAAGAAAATTGAATAACGAATTGAAATGACTCTGCTTAAGAATTCATTCCGTTTAACCTATCAAGAGACAGAAAAAAAAGCGCAATACTTTCAATTGAATTCATTTCGTTCATTCATTCATTCATTCATTTAGAAATGTTTAACAATTGTTTTTATTAAATATTTTTAATCAATTTGCTGCCTTTATATACAAATATTGTTCCAATGGATTCTATCGTTTTAATCGCTTCTTTTTTTTTTCTGTGTTACTGACATTGACATTAAAAGCAATTTTCGTTTTATTTCATAAAACTTTTCATTCAGAAATTTTTAAATCTGTTTAATGGTCGTGCAGTTTGGTAAATCTATGTAATTAAAAAAGTTTTCGTAAAAAAACACGGCTTACAAGCAGAAACGAATCGTATTTGTGCATGAGTAAAAGTGGTGGGCTGTAGCTATTGAAAGAGCGGAGGGTCTGCCAACTACATCGTAATTATTTGCCTCCGTCACTTACTTCTTATGAATCTTGAAAGCATGTACATGTGTACATCTGTGTGTTAAGGAAACTCCAGGACGAAGTATGTTTTAAAAAACACTGTGTCGTAGTTTAGAGATATCTAATTGAGCGGATAGACAGCTAGTTTGTGAGAGCGAAAGGTAAGCAACACAAAAGACGGCGATATTTTTTTTATTCCTCATGGTTATGAAAATTTTTGAAAATTGGTTGAATTATTCGCTCTGCTAGAGCTTTACAAATGCCTTCACTTGCCAGAGCGAGAGAGAAAATATTATTCAGAAACGATGATGAAACAAATTGCATATGACGATAAGACGAAGTATCTAAGGAGATGTAATAAAGTTAATCTCACGAAATAATTTCAAAAGAGGCGAACGAAAGTGGGACATTCTTGTTGAAACATCGTTCACAGCAATTGGCGAAATTATGGCAACGAAAGGAAATGCGATTCACAGCTTACTTTGGATATTCCGCTGAAATATTGTGAAAATATAGACCACAGCCCTCCCGTCCGGAAATTTAAAATCCGTCTAGCATGTGTTCGAAGAAAATAGTAAAACTAGTTGCGATTCTCTCAAAAAAGTCGAGTTTAAATAAAAGTTAAAACGTTGTCACCGGACAAGGTCGACTCCTAGATACCCTACAGGTCTTCGCTAATACAAACCTTTACCTATCTTCATGACAAAGCGTCAAAGTATGTACTCTACTGCCATAAAACAGGTTATCTGTTAGAATAGGGGAAGGAATCTAAGAAATAAATCGATGTAACCCAAAATTTGGAAAAGTATATCCTTTTTCTTTTTATGATATTACTATCTAATAGCAAGTTTCATTACAAAATACTAAAAATTAGATCTTGTTGCTCTGTAAAGGTTCACTTGTTGTAAGAACGACGGGAAAGCTTGCGAAAATGATCTCATTCAATCCAAATCTTTTATATTCACTCAGATTGCCCAAGTATCGTTTTTTTGAAAATTTATGTTATGTATAATGTTTGAAAAGAACTTTATATGAGAAGTGGTCATATGTAGAAGTGCGAAAAAGACTCGATAATTGGATCGCTTTCAAACAACTATCCGTTATTTTCCATGAGAGTGATCCTGTGACTTGAAATAGTTTATTAAACGTCAGCAAAGTACCTGGAAAGTTCGGATGGGCGAACATCAGATCGGCAGACAGACATTCAAATATGCACAAATCGTCCAAGGAATCTAATCGATTGGCCTAATAACGGATGAGCCTACTTTGAATCTATCTAGGTATTGCATACATTCCGACAAACTTATATGCCCTTTATGGCAAGTAGCGTAAGCTACGTATGTGATCTTGAAAAGTTCTAAGAAATCAACTGAAAAATATTTAAAATCATTTCGATCTGAGCTCTTCGAGAATCGAAATAATAAACTTCATGCCAGCAAATGCCAATAAGCGGCATTTCCAAATTTTAAAAGTGTTCAAACAAAGTTAAAAAATCGCTTTAGTGTATCTGAAAACAAGCATAAATAAAGCGGTTAAATTGCAATCATTTTAAGTATCACTTACCTTAATACCGTAATTGCTTTCCTCATAGATTATGGAAACATAACTCCAACCCAAACGTTTAACAATTTCAACCATAGCCTTTACTTGGTAATGATCTGATGGTATGGTACGTGAAAAATATTCGAAACGTTGCTTATTGCTTAACTCAGGACTAGTGGAGAAGAATGATACCTATGAGAAAAGGATAAATACATTCCTTTATGTTATTCTTATGGTTTTTGCTTTTTATTGTGGGTTTTCTTTTCAATTAAATTTTTACAGACTTTTCATGAAAACAAAAGAAAAAAAAAAAAAAAAGAAAAAGAAACAAACTCTACCCAAAACCATTGGGCAATTATTTTCTACTTAGAGCTTGGACCTTCAGAGCCAAAAGCAAAAAGGAAGAAATGCATATATTGGGATTTTCTGGTATTTTACTGTTTGCTATTATAAGACATAAGTTTCCTTAAGCCATCTCTTTGTGTACATTTCGATATTTATGCCGTATAAACTTGCACCCCAATGAAAATCATTTTCATTTTGTTACCACATTTTTCTTCTTTTTTTTTTTTTTTAATCTTTTACTGCACATTTGTTGTTTTGTTTGTTCTCGTTTATTCGTTCGTTCGTTCATTCATTCTTTCGTTTGTTCGTTCGTTCGTTTCCTTTGTACGTGTTCGTACACGTTTTTCGATAGGAAAGTGCACGCAGCCCAATATTATGTTTGGCACTTCAACACTTACACTTCATTGCACATGAATGAATTTATGATATCACTAACTTTTCTGTTGAATTTATGCGAAATATAGGATCATTTTACTATTTTGGTTTACAAGATGCAAACGTGAATATCGTGGGATATAAAGATTAAAGGTTAAATATGGAAATATGGAAATATGGAAATAAATTACATTTAAAATATTTCTTTATTACTATACCCATAGCAGGCGACATATTGGGTTTATTACAAGAAATAAGTAAGAAATTTACATTCAATTCTGATCGAATCTTTTTATCCACCATTTTTATCTTAAAAAACAAAACAAATTTTTTTTTTGAAAGGAAAAAGAGAAAATACGAAATTTCCGTTCTCTAATATCAAGTGGACTTGGAAGATTTCATTATTCCACTCCAGTTAATGTAGAACTATCCAAAGGATTGTACGTGTGGGTTTTTTTGCGTTGCGAAAAGAAAGGTGCTATTGGGTTATGCACTGTACCGTAGAGTGGCCCTTTGATGAATTTTGCCGTCGAATACTTTACCTTTATGTGGACGCACGGACAGACACGTCCAGATCGACTCAGAATTTGGTGCAGATTAACAATATGTTTGCTTTATAGCATTTCTGAAATCTACTTTTGAGTGTTGCAGACGTCTTGAAAAAATCGCTTTATGTCCGTCCTTGCAAAAGTATGAAAATTTCAAAAGTATGTCTCGGTGTTTGCGTTAAAATCTATACAGGACGACATAGTAAAGCTTATACCACATTAAATTTATGGGAATGAATGCGAGGCGTGAAGGGACCTATTTTTTATTATGCGATTATATATCAATTTGACTCTCGAATATGTCTACTCTCGAATATGTCTACTCAACTTGCGAGTCGAAAGTTGTAAGATATTTTAATAAAACTGGATACGCTGACGTAGCCTAGGACGCTAGCGAAAACTGATTGAATTCAACCGGTCTCACGGTCATTACTGTGAAAAACTAGTTACCAGCCAACGTTTCTGCCAAATTCAAAGTCGATAGCTTCATTTTTGCAACGGGCATTACACAGACAGTCAGAAGGATGTCCTTACATTCACTTCGAATTTCGTGCTGATCAGGAATGTATTTACACAAGCTTCCCTCTGAGCGTTACAAGCGTTTTGACAAAATGAATATATCCCTCATCCTTCGGCGATGGGCATAAAAATGGATAGATTTAGTATTTTTGCATATAGAAGTAAAGGTCCTAAAATTTTGTATAAAAAATTGTATTTCGGATTCTTCAAGAAGAAGTAAAAGATTTCGCCGAATTATTTATATATCATACACAATTGTGTTGCGTAACGTTTGCACAATAGGCTTCAAGCGTCAAATCCAAACGTGCGCGTACCACAGATTGTTAACAATGTCAAGATTGCTTTTTATAAACAATGTAAAAATACGAAATTCTTTGCCAGTCAATATTAAGGCTATTATTAATAGCTGAGCAATAGAAGTGAAGGTTGTCCGTGAAAGTATTTCTTATTGTAGAGTCGTAAGCGGCAAAATGTTATGTTTATATGATGTGTCAGCATAAACATTGTATTGATAGACATACTTATTGAATTTTAACGAATTTAAGAGGTAACCATATTTTGGATTATTAGCTAAACAGTCGAGCATGGGTTGAAAGCAATATAGAGGACTTGCGACATTTAAGAGAGTCAAGGAATTTGAGTTTTTGACTTTTAATTGTATAGCAATATATGGCAACTTGAAATTTTAAATGCCCTTATCTTTGGAACAATAGTCGTTAGGATATCATCGATAAATTATTGTATAAATATTTTGTATGAGTAGAAAGCGGCTTTGTTTGAATATTAAATATTTTCATTTAAATACTTGCCAATCAAACGAAAATCAATATTTCCACGATATTCGACGTCATTCCCTAACTGTAGGAATGTAGGTTTGGATGGTTTGGTTTCTTTTATAATTTGAAGAGTGCCTTGAGCTGAATCGTCTTCAGAGAAAATTTTTCCAAAGCAATTTTTCTTTAAATAGTTCCCCGGAGTATTGCTATTCTGCCATCTTTTATTTTATTCAAAAAAGATGGCGAATAATCCCTATTTTTTAAGGCTCTTAGCTGGTGTTGTTGCTGACTATTACAACAGTAGCACTAGTATATCTAATAATACATAGGGAAACCTTAAGTGCACAAGAAAAGACCGTACAAAAGCGAGTTTGAATGTACCCAAGGTGATACACACATCCTTCTTTGCACTTTTGTTAGTATATAGTGCCAAAACAGATTTTATATTTGTACTGGGGTAAGATTAGCATAGTGTTAGTATTATTTCTTACAAACAGTATATAAAAAAAAAAACACTACCTATCCTTCGTCGCATTACGCACTTGGAAAAAACAAGACAACATTCTTTCGCAAATGGGATTCAAAACCTAGTAAAAAAGTTGTTAAAAAAACCTAAGCAACTTAAGTTTTATTTGAATTGATCCGCCTGAGTGGCCGAGTATGCAAAAGTCTCGACTAGCAACTCCAGTGGTCGTGGGTTCAAATCTCAAGGGCGGTAGAGTTTTTAATAAAAGCCGAAAGCTTTAGATCCTAGTGCTTTATAAATAATATTTGAATTGATTCGGCCAATTTTGAAGAGTGAAAGAGGTAAAGCAAATTGTCGGTCTGATTCACTATCATCTGAATAATCAAAATGCTACGACAAACTGGAAGAAGAAAGAATCGTCAATTAGATTATATTTAAAGAAATATTTTATAATAATGAAAACATGCAACTATCTATCTACTCAGTTAACAAAGAAACAACTTTGTTTCACGCTTTGTTGCACCTTTTTCTTTAATAAAAAAAATTGTTCTGTTTATGTATCTCTTCGTTTGTCTCTTTAAATAAACAATTTATTTTATTTTATTAAAAACTCGTGTTCCGTAAAAAGAGTTTAATTGGGAATAGTGACAGCTTGAGCGGTAATGTAATGAAGTCTGGTGGTCACTAGCCATTAAAATGCGATATGAAAATGTACAACGTAACAATGAAACAAACCAACAAGAAACAAGCAAGAAATTTATATTCGGTAATCAACGAATCTTTTATACCCATCACTGTTGTCCTAAAAAAGACTACACAAAAGGCAAAGAACTTAATTTTCATACTCTATTATATTGAGTGGACGTGGCTGATATTTTCTATTTTAAAAATAAAAGTTTCTATCGGGTATGGGTGTTGTAAGGATCTGCTCTTTAAGTGTGGAAAAGTTCAAAGTCGCGCCCAAATTCTTTGCCAAATTTGTAAACGATGCCTGCATTTTCGCTAGCAGGATAATGCTTAGCATAAATGGTACACAATTACCCAGACAGATAGATGGACAAAAGGACAGACGGACATGTTTAGCGGCCAAATTTGAAACTAATCAAGAATTGCTACACTTTATGAGGTTTTTCAAGCTTGTTTCTGCGTCTTATAAAGCTATTGAAGAACAAATTAAATCTTGAGGCACTATAGTCTTGGGCAGCCGTGATCAAAGTTTGTACACAAATGTTACATATTTGGTCTTTGGAATATCCGCTCAATGCGTTTTGCACATTTATTTACTGTAGCTTATGAGTAATGAGCAAACAACCAATTTTTCATTCCCCAGGTGTTTTCAGTTTATATGGCGCTGTGGGGGTGTCCTTTGGCGGATTTGGGTCATTTTCAATACCAATCCGCGTGTAAGAACTTCCTAAGTTTCTGTCAAATCTTAAGTCTTACAGCTTCATTTTTTTGCAGCCAGGAATATGTTTACAATAGATATTACTCAGAGGGACGGACGGACATGCTTAAATTGATTTAGAATTTGATGCTGATAAGGAATATATACACTTTGTGGTGTCTCTGATGCTTCTTTCTGGGCGTTGCAAATGTTTTGACAAAATGAATATACACCTCATCCGACGGTCATGGGTATAAGAAGCGAAGTAAGCGATTCTCAACTACAAAACGTACAAAATAGGAAAACATAAAAAAATTACGACTTTAAACTGACGACTTTGATACAAGAGAGCCGTTGTTGAATGCGGTCATAAAATAATGCAACAATGCGACAGTTGGGCACATGGGGAGCTCTTCAGGTCTTGTATGTAAAAGTAAAAGCGAAATTGTGTAATTCGAAGTCTAAACACATTTATTGCGAAATTTAATAGACAAAACGCTAAAAGGAAACATTTCGGCAAATTAAGAAAGATTTACTGCACTGCTAACCTCTGGTGTGTCATTATGAAATTTAATTGAAGAGTTTCGTACTTTTGTACCTTCCCCAAGCAAAGGGAAATAATTTACATGTCCCGAGGTTATTAGTCGTCAATGCCATATTCAGGATGCAAATCAGATCGTTTAGTGAATTTATCATGTGTATGTTAAGTGACGCTAGCCGAAATGACAGTGAACGGAAGATGTGTACACATATTGAGATCCTTTGGCCAACAAAATATTTCATTTCACAAACTCCTAAGAAAAACATGCATAATAATTATTACAGTTCAATACATTTTAGAAAGGAAATTTAAAAAAGTATTATCAATACCGACATACTCATGGGTGATTGTGCACACACTGCAAATGATTTGTTTTAAAGAAAAAAAAAAAAAACTATCCATTATGAACTTCTTTTAAGGGTTATTTCCTGTTTTCCTTTATTTGCTTAATCGCCTCCTTAAATAGTCAACAATGATATAAAGGCAGAGTTGTGAAGAGAGGGGATATTTAAGAAAGCCTAAAACTTGATGCAGTTGGATAGGTTCACTATAGGCATTTTGAGTGCATGGGATAACGCGGGCAGTACAACAGTAAAAGCACATTTTTCTCAAAAGGCTGGAAATATCCAAAGTCAATAAACCGATTGCATGATGGGAGCAAAGGTAAAAGAAAAGTTTCTTTCAAGTTGCAACTTGAAAAAGTTTAAACACGTCTCAACTCAACTCTCGAAACTCTTCAATTATCATCTACTTGTTGTGCAATTTTAACTGCTGTTTCAAAATCAGCGATTTCAATAACCTTCGCCATATTTCCCCTGTTGAGATCCATCACTGTATGAAGCCCTGTTTTGAAAAAGTCATTTTGCAATTTGTTGAATTTCGCGCCAAGGATCACTGACTGGTAGTGTTTCGGCATACTTGATAGAATTAAGAAATTTTTGGTTGAATGTGCAATTTTCTGAATCCTCTCATACGTAATCGTTTCGATGAAGAAATAGTAGTTTTAATATTTCATATATTTGGAAAATATAAAGAGAAACCGATCAAAGAGTAAAGATCAAGAGTAAAATGAATGAAAACAAAAAGTAAAAACCTTTTAGACAGACAACCCAGCCCTTTAAATAGTATACACATCGTCAAGTGTCGTTGTCACAAAATAAGAAATATTGTGCATTGTCGCCATATCCTGGCATAATTCTTATCAGGACGCTTATATGGGAAGGGCTTAGCTGGTTTAAACTTAGCAAAGTAGTTTACATGAAACTGTTACTTTGATCGAACTTTCGCTTTACAACTTGTTGCCACATAAAGACTTTCCTTTCGTCAGAACATTTATATGAGAGGAGGGCGTTCAGGAAACGATTTCAAGCTCGTCCAAATTTTCTACATTCATTTAGGGGATCATAGTACTATTTTTTACCGAAAGTGTAAAAATTTCAAGTTGTTTTCACACACAAGCTTTTCCAAAACAAATCTTTATGGGAAGAGGGCCCTTGCACATTCTTCGTTCCAATAAGCTTCGCCATTAACTGAAAACATATTAGTAAAACATGTCTTAAGAAAAAATCGCAAAATTTGCTGTATATTGTCTACAAGAGTACGTGGACAGACGTTAGGAAAACAGAGAGGTGCTCGTACAGACTCATAGCTACGTTTACTACGCCTAATCCGTCTGAGTGGCCGAGTATGCAAGTGTCTCGACTAGCAAGTCATTTGTCGTGGGTTCAAATCTCAAATGCGATAGGTTTTTTAATGAAGTCGAAAGTCTTAGATGCCAGTGTTGCTTAAGACTTTAGTCGTAGAATTGGTTCTCTGGCTAAATTTATAGTAATAATAATAATAATAATCTATTTATTAAGGAAATGATTTTAAATCGCTTGTTAATATAGTCGAATCAGGTCTAGCCCAACTTCTTCCGAGTGTTGTATACATCTGGAAAAATTATATGCCCTATAGGGTATGTGGTTATGAATTCTTGCTTGCGTTATTACTCTAATGTAAGAACCGAATTATTTATTTTTAATAGCTGTAGTTAGAAAAGAAGTTTGTTCACATCTCTGATGTACAGTCAATTGGATAGTGTTTCAAGCCCTTGATGATGATTTGGATCGTAGTTAATAACATTTATCGTCTCTAGCGACGCGACCATGATGTCATTAATATTTTCTTCTTCTCAGTAGGAGAGAAATATCAACAAAACGACGAAATCGTTCTGATACATATTACGATTGCAATAAAGTTTTTCTTTAGTCAAGACTTAATCTAATAAATGTCGGTTTAAAACTATATTGTCGTCATTATATTTTCATTATACTACTGTTGTTAGTTGTTGGAAATTTCTTTTTATTTATGTACATACTTTTGCTTATACCATTTGAAAAAAATTTATATATAAAAAATTTCCTTGCTTTTTACTCTAAACATAAATGTTTTTTTTTTTTTTTTATGCCTACAAAGACTTTAAACGCAGAGAGTGTTCTGCGTTTATAAAGTTAAACAACGTTAAGAAAAAGTTATAGATGATTTAAAATGAATCGTCAAAGCCATGCTAATCGTTAACGAATGCTTCTCTAAGAAAGGAAGAAAGAACATGATAAGGATAATAAATTTTATTGTGGAAGACTTTTTATGGTTGCTACTGAAAACCGATGGTATTTGGATTTTGTTGTTGCATTTGTAATAAGGCAGAATGCGACTTTTCATAAACGTGAATCATTTTACTTCGTTTTCCTAAGGATGAAGTTACACTCGTTATTTTATGATGTCGACAACATCCGAAAGGAAGTTTCAGAGACCTTGCATGCTGAAAAGATGTACCTATGTCTGTCCATCTGAGTGGGCTGTGTTGTTGGCAATCCCGTGGTCAAAAAAAAATAAAATATCGACTTCAAATTTAGTTGAAACAATGAAAATTTTGCAGGCAAGTGGGTGGCTTGGTGATGAGTTTACAAGATTCGGCTTTAGCCGGATATAACTTTCTTTCATGTTGTTTTTTTTGTTGTGCGTTTATGTTGTGATATTTCCTAAATATCTTCCGAAGCCTGCACTTATGAAAGCTTGCAAATTGATTACGAAACCGTAGAGTAATAGGTGCCTTAAAAGTCTTCCCAAATTTTTGGTACTTTCATCAACTTTCCCACTTTATCTTATGGATGTAACAATTTCACTGGCTGCTCGTGTGGCTGCCGGACAAGGTATCACTGCGAATGGACGTCTTGTCGCCGTACTCGTCCCAGCCTTTGGAATGTCATCACTTGGAGTGTCCCTCACAAGTCTCGTACTTGCCTGGCTGTCCGCCCAACTATCTGTCCGAATCTCCGCTTCAATGCTTACAATGGTTTATGCTCCTATTATTTGTGCTATTACCGTCCGACTGCCACCCCTCACACGTCAACCTCTTTAATGAGAATTGATTTAGCAAACGCCGTCGGGACATTATCTTTAGATGTTTATCATGAAAATCAGCGAACGCCTTAGAGTGCGAGCAATCACACTTTGCTGCCATGATTAATGGGTATATAGAACTTTATTGCGCGCTTTAACTGCAAATCGGATCAGTAAATGAAGACAAAGCATTGGCTTACCTGCGGTATACGAAACAGTCTTAACAAATTCGCAACTTGGATGGAAGTTACCGAAGAAGCAGCTCCCACTACACCGGATATAACTTTACGCACCTGCGTTTTATTGCAATGATATTCAGCATCATCGATATTGCTAATGGAACCTGAAAAATAAAAATAATTTGGAATTTTTTAAAAAAAGTTCTGCAAATATTTTCCCTATACGGGTGAAAATATTAATTTAATCTAAAACAAGGAGGGAATATATATATATACTTTGTTCAGAATACAAAGTAATAAAAATATTTTCATTTTCTTTACACGAATCCGGCTTATGCTCTACTTAACTTCAATTTATTATTACATCCTTACTTAACTAGTTTCATGTTAATCACTTCTACCATAAAGCCCAAAACTAATTAAGGGCTCTTAGATAAACTAATTTAAATATCCAGAAGACTAGTTTTAGAAACGAAAAACAAAAAAATAAATTTTTTTTTTTTTTTCTTTTCTAAACTGAATTCCGTCTTTTGTACGAGTAAAGTGAACGTTGAAATGCTAACGCAGCAAAATCGTGCATTAGCGTTAGCAAGTCGTTTTTACACTTGATGCAAGAACAACATTTTAATGAAAAAATGTTAAATATATTAAAACTATCGTAAATTTTAATGTTCAAAATGGTGCGAAATTTAAATGAATTCAGGCAATAAAAGTTCCTAAGGGATTACATTTTTGCATAATGCCTTCTGGTTATTTTCGGAAATCATTTAATTTATTTATTGCCTTTACATATAGTTTGTTTAATGAATGCATTTTTTTATTGCTTTTGTTTTTGTTTTTGGTTTTTTTTATTCTTTAAATGTTAACATTACTGTTTTCGCCCTGTTTATGTGTTGTTCAACTACTTTGCGTATCATTTTATGTAAATAAAAAAATAAGTCGGTAAAGTGGATCTATACGCAGACATGTTTATATATATTTTGAAAAAAAAAAAAAAACCATCAAAACCAGTTATTGCATTACCTCAATTTTTTGTTTTCGTCACTCTGTTTAATTATAGCGCGTCTGTGGGCAAGGTTGATTGATTGTCGAACTTCCAGTCGTACTCCACGGTAAAATAAAATACAAATGCATCAAAAAGCAACGCGAATATTTCAACAAGATTTTTGAGCTAATATTATCCTACACTTTTTGTGATGCAAGCGTATATTGAGTTTACGCGGATGCTTACCACACCCACAAAGACTTGAGATAAGTTGACCTTTTGTTAAGCTTGTCTGTCTGTCTCGTTGTTGGCCTGTCTGTATGTCAACTTGTCATCTTGTATTCTTGTGGTCTCAATTTGCGAGATATTTGAATGACATTTGATATGCCAACGCTATTGAGAATAGTTCGGATCGGACAACTTTATCGATAACTTCTCTTATAACGTCCTACTTTGAGAAGTCGTTACATGAATAAACGCATTAAGTTAGGTGATGTAGAGCATTTAATGTTGGGCCGTGATGATGATTGAAATGTAACATTATAGCGACAGCATTGTTTATGAACTTTTTAACGGCTGTCCATGATAATGAACTGAAAGAAATCTTTCCAGAACATATCTATCTATCTTTCCATTTCGATGTCTCAAAGTTCGGCATTCGGCCAAACCTCAAATTTGGTTTCGCGAATAAGGTCGCAGAGTACCTGTCTGTGTATTTAGAAGACAAGACGACAAGATCAAAATCGTCGTGATTGTTGAATCGTAATATGAATAATTGTTTGCTCTTTATTATTGGTCTTGATCCTATATAGTACCATAAGTTTATCTTGGCAAAATATTAAGTGTGAGAAAATGCTTGTAAAACGAGAAGTGTGAGGAAATGCTTGTAAAACGAGAAGTGTGAGGAAATGCTTGTAAAACGAGAAGCTAGTGATATAATGAATGCTTAGTATACAAAAATGTCACTTGAGAATAAACAATGGATTATAGTGGAGCGATAGTGGTACTGCAGAACATTGTTTGCCTTAATTTTATCATTTCTTAAAATCCTTTCTTCCATGGTGGCAATCTGTAGGATGCTTAGTCTACGATGCAGTTTCTTGTTTAATTACAGATGATATCCCTAATAATATCCTTTATAACATCGTTACATAAAGAAATGTATGATTAATACGAGCTATAAATAAATAGACCACCCCTTGTATAACGCGAAAATTAGACCCGTACGTCAAGTGAAATACATCAAAAGTACAAAAAAATATTTCTTTACCTCGAGCTATTTAATAGAAATTTCCATTTGTTTCGTATTTTGTTCAAGTTGAGCAAAATGCTAACGGCCATGAATGCGGATCTTTAGTTTGCTTCTTTGTCTTCCTGCCTATCATCGTAATGTTTGAATTCTCAAATTGGAACTCTTTCAAGTTTATAAAATGACCACAATTGTCGCCGTGAAGACGTAGAAAATACGAAGCGAGAAATATTCATTGCCTAGGATATGTAGATAGGTGTTAGGAGACTTCTAAAGGAGGATCTAATTGATACTGTAGGTGAAAAATTTTACGATGAGTCCATGTTAAAGTAGTTTTCCGCGTAAGGCATCTCTTTTATTAATGTGTCGCGTGGTGTATTGAAAATACTCCACTTGCAAGTAGTCTTACTTTTGCTGGTTAATTCAAAACAAAGCTCTGTTGGACTATGAGGTTTGAACACCGCGAAATATTTGAAAAGCGAAAAAAAACATCGTACAGCTCAGGTGAACATTGGTGGCACTGCCCATAATGTATATTCAGAGTTTCTTTAATTCAAGGAAGCAGTCACTATTGGTAAACATTATCACAAAATCAGTGATACAGTTGTGAGGCAAGGGACCGCAATATATAAAATGACATTATAGGCTGTCTTGGCGTCCAAATTCTTATCGCCAGACTAGTCCATGAAAGATTTTGATTTTTGTACTGGTATATAATACTTCTTCTTGTTCTTGTTCCTATGTTTCCAGCACATTGCTTCTTGTCATTAACGCTCGTGTCCTCTGCCTAAGCAGCTGTTGCTGTCTTATAAACTTAGAGTACATCTTGCAAGGGCTTGGAGTGGCTTTATAGCTGGGAAGACTTTCAACAATTTCGACGTAATACGACAAGAATACTGACTTGTTAATCCATCCATTGGATTCAGAAGAACACTATGTATGTAATTTCTTATAACTACGTCGTCCAACACATGTGAAGTAACAATATTAACATATTCACTTTGTTCGGTAGTGAGTAAATTTTAAAAGTGATTTGTTTCTTTGTTCATTTCATGCAATGTTTTTGATTGAGTGCAAATTGAATAAAGGTTTTAATTAAAACGATAATAATATTAAATATAATTTCGATACTATTTTTAATAAATATTTTTTTATTGTTTACATGAATATGAAATGAAAAAGTTAATGAATAATTTGTTTTTCTGCACATGTGTACGTTCAGTCATTAAATCATATTGACAATGTGTAAATGATTTATTAATTTTCTATCCATATTTTATTTAATAAAGTCATGGAATAGGTTTAGGTGAACTTTTTTACACTGCATTTTTTACTACGTAAATTGAATAAAATATTTGTAATATGGAGGAAAATACGAAATAAAGGCCGTATTAGGTACAGATAAAGTTATTCTGCTTGGATATAAGAATCATTTTATTTCTATTTGTTTGCCAAACCATGTCTAATAAAATCAGATTTAGGAACTGAAGACATTGTTATTCGATTTTTAGCCTTTAGTCAACTTAATTTCAAGGGGTCGATGTGGACCATTTCTCTTAGGTTATAGTTCTAAAAAATCCTATATATTTCCATAGAAAACGCGGCCAGGCACAGTTTTTAGATAAGCCGTTTAATACACTTTCTTCCTCTCATTATAAGCCAATGGTAGATATTAACCTATTCGGTCAAAGCCTAAATTAATTTTTTTCATTCATTTTTTTGTTCATTTGATTAAAATTTCAATTATTTACACGTATGTGCATTAAAGTTTTTTAGAATAACGAAATGTTTGTAATCTGTGGGAGGTCTTCGGTGAGCTCATAAATGATGTACTTTTACGCATTTAGGATAGGTAATGGAATCGATGTGTCTTCGTATTTGTTTGCACCACTCTTACGATTTTACAACCTTTTCTTAAATGGTTTGGGTTTTTAATGTCATCATTTTCTTATCGATTACCGACTAATCAAATATCTGTAATCACATATCATTTATTCTAATATGCTTCAATATATTAGAGCTGACTTGGCTGAAAAACTCTCTTATAATTATCGAAAAAACATATTTAGCCTTTCTTTAGTAATTCAGATATTTTATAAATGATTTTTCAAACCTATTTTTAATTTGTTGTTACTTCAAACGAACATACGATTTTTGGTTGGAAATGCAAGAGAATAGCGGTCGTAGGGTATAATTATGTATATTATTGTATGGTTACTTCACTTGTCAAATCGATTAACTCCATTTTTGGAATTTTATTAAATTTGAATACCAAAGCACTTCATTAGCCCCTAACTGTACATATTCAAAACGAATTTCTCTAACAATAAGTATTAACACTACTAAATGACAAAATCGTTTTGGCCACTGAGTAATAAATAATTTATTTATAACATTTCATCATTAAACGAGTTAATCGATTTGGCAAGTGAAACATCCATATTATTATATACTCTCTCTCAATCTCTCTCTCTCTCTCTCTCAATCTCTCTCTCTCTCTCTTTCTCTCTTTCTCTCTTTCTCTCTTTCTCCCCCTCTCGCCCTGCATGACTTTTGTCATCGTGTAAACTAAGCTTGTGCGAAGGGCTCAAGATACTTTTACTTATACCGATCGATTAGGCATCATTTTCGAAATCGATTCATGTCTGTCTGCTTGATTGTAACATCGCTGCTCTTGTATTTAATTTTGTTTTTCAGTTTCCAGTTTATAGAATATTTTGAACAACATATTTTGTCTTAGGAACGTGTTTTGTCAAAAATGAATTGCATCGGAACGATTTTATGCTCACTCACCATATAACATTCCATGTGACGAGTTGTGCGATTTGGAAAATTTCGCAACAAAAACCACTGAGTGATAGGGACATAGATATACTAAATTAACGTGAGGAAGTTGAATCGGATATATCAAGTTTTTCAAGTCCCTCTCATATGATCGCTCCTATGAAACACAGGAAAATAAAATCTCAATTCTAATATATTACGATGAACATTGTTCCGTAACAGAATAGTTGAAACTCGCAGCCTGTAAGAATTCTCATAAAAATGAAGCCTTTATAAGGCAAGATGCTCTACTTTTTAATAGTGTTTTTGTTAACCATTGGTCAATGGTAGTCAGTTGATATAAACAATAATTGCACCAAATTTGGACTAGGTAGGCCTATTTTTTTGACTGCATCCCATACAAGAATTCTCAAAGCTAATTTTTCATAGCTTAATGTCTCTCCCTTATAAAGCGTAAACATTTACATGATACCTGACACATGATGATAATTTTTAGTATTTTATGTTTATGACATAAATTTATTTCATTTATTCCATAGATATTCATATCAATGAATCTCTCTTTTGATGCTAAGCTATACTTTTTTTTTCTTAGCTAGACTTAGTAAATTGTTTGTTAGGGAAGATGCTATGCGCGCAGATGACACTTATTCATGATCATAGTGAAAGGATACTCAATCTAATGTCGTTGTAAGTATATGCATCAATTCTTTTTATTTTGCATATGTGTGCAGAGAGGTACATGATGCATGCAGAAGTGTTTATTTTCAGATACCCAAACATACGGTTCATATACACAATAGAAGATTTTAGTACATATTTGCATTAATATCAATCGTTTTGATTGGCATAACACAGTTATGTGAACTGGTATATAGATATTGTGTTGCCAGATATGTGGCTATGAAAAAAAAGTAATTTTCCAATTCACTGAATAATAGAATCAGTACATTCTCCACCCTTCGCGAACATGCTTACAATCAGTTTATTGCGAAATGGAAAATTTCTTATGGTATCAAATAAGGAATAATAAAAAAAAAAATATATATATATATATCGTCATAAAGCCGCAATAGCAACTAACACATGCTGTTCCCCGGACAAGCTTGCAGCGTTAGTTCTTTTATAAACTCTATCCGCTTGTTGTTTAAATAATTTCTTTTATATTAGATTAGAGGAATAGTTCGCTTTGCTTTTTCCATTAGTAAACTGCAATACAATGTTGCTTATCATCAACAACGTACGCGTCGGTAAATACGGGCAACTTTTCACATTCAACGTTGTATTCATGCTATTATTACCATATATTTAGTATCGTGTTTTGCACAAGTTTTGTAAACAGCTTAAATCGCTGTATTGTAAGAAAGTACCTATATGTGTGTGTGTGTGTGTATATACGTTTGCCTGTTTGCCTGTTCGCATATTAGTATTATTATTATTATATACATTTTCATATATGTATGTTATTCATGCACATACAATATGGGAGGAAGTATTATAAAAGTGCAGAGAAAGATACCGAAGAAGTTTTCTATAATAAACTGCTTTTTATATTACGTACGGTTTATGAAATTGATTTTTAAATTGAAATATATTTTGTTAGGAATATTGAAGCTACTTAGGCATAAATAATATTAAACACTTGCCAACTGATAAAGAAACGAAAGGAAGAAGAAAGAGATTTATATATATATTCTTTGAAACTTGACATCTTTAGTGTTAGTGTTGATAGTTTATTGTAAAATAAAAGTGCTTTAGGTGCATAGTAGTGACTTTTATATTGAATTGCAAGATGTTTTCCCTTCCTTTTTTTTCTTCTTCTTACGATGAGTGTATAAAAAGTAGTTTAGAAACTTGCATGTCAAGGTGAATTATTGTCTATAAAATAAATGCAATAAAATATTGAGTTTTCAACTATTGACGATTTCTTTTCATCCTTTCATTCAATCACTATTCGCGATATTCCTGATTATTGTTAAACTATTTAATAAAAGTATAAGCTTTGATCTTTATTTCTATTTGATCTCTATTCCTCTCCGTCTAACTTAATAACTCTTTGAAGGAAACTTTAACTTTTTTATTGCCATGACTCGGGCTCATCTTCTGCTTTACTATTTGCACTTTTTGTGTATTGTGCCCCCCTTCAGTAACGGAAAATACAAAAGTCTTCACAAGAAAATGTATTAGTTAGCATGTTCTTCATCATTTACCGTCAACGTCATCCTGCTTTAAAATAATTTCCGCTCAAATATAATGAGGTATGCATCAATGCTTTAAGCATTTTAGTGAAGCATTGTTTTATTCCTTTTTGTCGAATAATATCAGTAAGACTTTTGTTTTCATTTCCTCCAGTCCACAGGTCTTGTTTACATGTAATAAGGTATTTGGAATTGAGGTACAAAACAATGAACGCGAGTTTCTTGGGGTTTTCATTCAATTAAATGGAAACTCTCTCCATCTCACAGCACTTTGTTTGTAAGCATTTTTATGCGGGAGCATCTTCCAAAACGGTCCCATGCCATGCCCATTTACGAGTTTCATTTAGTAATTTATGAAACTAGTTTTCGAAAGCAAACGACCACTTATCGCGATAGCTTTTTCTAAAGGGACCTTTACATAACATGTGGTATATAAATAAAATAAATTATGTGAATTCTTTCCCAATAACATTCGCCCTTGAAACAAAAAGATGCCAGTGTTGTGAATGTTAAAATATGTGGGCAGACAGACAGCCAAATAGACGGACTGATATGCTTAAATTTCAAATACTTTTCTCAGTTTAATCTCAACGTTAACGAACAGGTATTTGCTTTTTAACACTCATCCCATCATTCTACTATCTTTTAAAATCTTGCGAATAACGTGATTAAAGAAAGTATGAGAAAACCACAACGCTCTTGATAAGCAAACAACGTTGTTTTATTGAAGCAATTGCACTGCACGTAAGTTGTTCTTAACTCTTTAAATTGTTTCGTTTTTGTTGTTCTCAAATTTTCCATCACGATTTTCGCATCCTGGCGTGCAAATTTTTTTGTTTAAGTAGTAAATTGTTTTATTGCATGCGATATAATCTCGTTATTATGTTTTTCACGAATTTTGTAATGACTTTCCGTTCATTGGTGTTTTTAAATCTCGCGTTAAATTTTTTAAGATTTTTTTCTTTCGTTCTTTCGCAAGAAACTACAAAATCCCCGAAAATTCTAACCAATAATAAAAAGTAGCGCATGTATGCAATTTGTTGGCTCGCAATCTGGTGAAATAATTTCACGCCATGTCAAACTTTCAAATGAAACAAAATCTAATATTTGTTACAAAGAGAAAAAACAAACAGAAAAAATCTTTAGTAGAACATCTATTTGATATAATACGTGACGGGAGCCGAAGTACATCTCCTCCGATAGTACATGGCTTATAACACAATCCATTATAGGGATTTAAAGATTTTCAGAAGTACCTTTTTTTTCTTATCATTCTGGTTATGCGTATTAGGAAAGCGGTCAGGTTTTTTGTGATCAAAAATGCATTTATTTTAGACCAAAGTGAACGAAGAAACGCTCTCTTCTTGTCAGGCAATTTTCGAATTTCATCACGAAGAAATTTCTTACCCTTCGAGGCTGTCCACAATAGCCACGTATTTGGGTACCGTCATAACAATGAAAACATCGTTGGGACAAATAATAAGCCATGTATTCAAACCCATGCTAGTGGGAAAATGCAATGTCTACTGATAGTAGTGGGAAAATTAGAACTGTAAATATTTCGTGAGCGAGTTTTTTTATATGGGAATGAATTCCTCTATACTGAAAATTTATTATATCATGACTTTTCACGACTTATGTCACGACCATTTTTTCCGAATTGACATTAATTATATTTGTTGGCACCCCTTCGTAACGGTTGCATTTGATTGCAAGACACCATAATACACCACGCGTCAAGCAGACCCCCCACGATCAGCTTTATTGATGATATTAATGATTCGTCTGTTCTGCGTCATGGATTGTTGAACTATGGATATCGCAATTGTTCGCAATAATCTTCAGTACTTGCAATCACTTAGCAGTGCTATCTTCTCAATTAAAGAAGAACGTAACACACAAAACTTCAACTTCTATCCAAACGCCTTGGCGTAGTAACTTATACTGTTGCCTGTCGCTTACACACAGTGTTTTCCCAGGCAGATGTCGTAGTTTTATTGCCTAGTGCACAAAAGTATTACTTGTACTACCAATATGATAAGAGCTAAGAAACCCGTAGGAAGCATGTCGTCTACCATGTAATATATGAAAACAATGCAGAAATAACTAAAAGTGAATCTTTTTCAAATAAAGTAACCTTTGCAGCGTTTTTTTTATAAAGTTTAGAAATCTGCATAAGTAAATCTATTGAGATAATATATACTAATATATTTTCGAAAGTAAGTATATGTAGATAAAATGTCATTTATAATATTATATATGATAACGGGCTCAAGAAATTTAAATTTAATAAATTTCCTTATATCAAATTTTCCATTCTTACGATATAGTACATGGAGTACTTTTGAATGCCGCGACTTACCTTTAATGAAATCTACAGCCATTTCTAAGCCATAAGAATCTTTATCACAGTCGTCTAAGATATGAGCTCCTAAAGTAATATTTGGCAACAGCTGAACCTTATTAATGCAGTCGATGGTATAGAGCATAGCCTCTAAAGCTTGTATACCGCCTTGCGGCATAATTGGGCCGCACATAATAGTATCTTCACGTGAATGAACCATCATAAGACCACCTAAAATGACATCACCCTCAACGACAGCCTCGCGTTTGACAGGCCAATGCCGCTGGCCAACAATAGTTGATGACACTAAATGTTTTTGATTGAAATGTTGTTCCTCGAAATCATGTTCACTGTTATCCGGCAAAGAGCGAAATATTTTATTGCTTTTATTAGATTGCGTATGAGATACACGACCACGATGGCGGCCGGAACGTGATGTCAAAGCGAAATAATTATTTTTTGTTGTCTTTATTAGAGTCGGATGATGCTGATGATGATGATTATGATTATGAGATTTGGAAAGAGAGTTGAAATTATCAGTAAAGTCATAGTCTGTTGTTTGTTTTAAGTTTGTTTGGTATTTTTTGCTTGTGTGTGAGTTTTTTAACATTAGCTGCTCATCATTTTGATAATTCATGAGTTCAGGCGAAACTAATTTAAGCTGATTAGGAAAACTTTTTAGATGAGATCTAGTTGCAGGTGTGTGAGGTATGGACGGAAAAGTTAATTCTTCTATCATTTGTTTCCTTTTCACTTTATTACGATGATGATGATGATGTTGTTGTTGATGATAATGATGACGAGGATGGGGATGAGGATGAGGATGATGATGACGTTGCGGCCATTTTCGATGTTTATTGGATTTCGTTTGTTCTTGCAAATATCTCTCGTGCTGTTGATGACATTCACGTTGCTTATGTAAGTGGCTCGATTCGATTTGTTCCCGATATTGATGGCAAGTTTGTTTGGTTTTGATTTTCTCTTGCTGCAGCTGTTGCGCCATCTCTTCAGGCTCTGAAGAAAAATTGGCAATTGAATACATTTCTGTGTCAAAGTTTGGTGATTCCTCCTTGTTGGCGGTTTTTATATCGCCCACTACCGCAACCTTGGTTGGTATAAACTGTTGCTCGCTGATTGCGATGGCAAAACCATGCCCTGCGAGGATTGTCAGCAACAACAAGCCGGTATACGCGTTCATCAAGCTTTGCGTGCCAAATGACATTTTATTACAGTTAAGTTTTTTTGACGAGTCTTCTAAAGATTATCATGAATGTTGCACACGTTTTGTTGGCTCTCTTTTCTTTTTCTTTTCTTTTTTTTTTTTTTGGAAAGGAAGGGGTCACAGTTTTGCGTGACGCAATATTTTGTTTTATCATTTAGTTTACGCAAGGGTGCGTGTGTTTGTAATCCCTTGGAATGCCATTTAGGTTATATCATTTAAAATTGGTTGTGGTTACTTTGTAAGGTGCTTATGTTTGCCTATTTGGCTTCTTTACTTTATGGTCTCCATAGTGGATTGGTTGTAGATTTCAATTTATTTTTTTGATTTTTCTTTTACTTTATGGGATTAAACGTTTGAATTGTTTGAAGAGATTTTTTGATAACAAACATAAAAAGACTATTATTATAAGATAGCATGTGCTTCCTTCTGCAATGTATTGCATTCAGTATATTGGTTCTGTGTCGAGAGAGGCAAAATATATTAAATTTCTCGCATCAGCTCCAAATACGTCTCAACAATTATTTTAAATCTATCGACAATGTTTCGTAAGCCTCTCAAGATCAAAATCATACTATAATTTAGATGCAAGTCTTTGCTTTAAGATTTATATGTATTATCTGCCTATTAGTGGTTTAAGTAACGTTTAAGTATTGCTAAACACCATACTAGGACAAAGAAGCCGAATCTCATTTAAAATTAAATGCTTGCAGATTTCGAACAAAATAAAATTTATAAGCATTTCAACAGTGATAACAATGTAATTAGAAATTTCCTTTCCGTTTCCGCTTCGGGACCTGTCAAATTCTACATGTATTCTGGATGTGTTGGCGATGGCACGGTTTGTCATCCCGAGCCGTTGCTAACCTAACACAATACAGAAATTACTACACGAAAAGTTATACAGTGACTTACAAATCATTCGCGTCAATATTTCCATATCGATGGAAGGCTTATTTACTGAAATGTAAGTAAGTTAGACGGTAAGTGAAGTGCTTTCTCGTTAAACTAAACGCAGAGGTATGGTAATAAGGCGATAGTAATTCGGTGTGTACTTCTTAAAAAGCAACTAATTCATCCATCTGTGAATTGGTTTCTCGATCTACATTCCAAATTACGAATATTCTTGATTAGAAGCCTGACAGCAAATATGGCGACCCGCAAATTTCGGGATGAACTCATTGCGCATTTGTCTGTCCATTCTTTTGTCCGTGAATCTTGTCACTTGGTCTTACTTTAAAAAGGACGATCTGAATTTGTCGAACTGACATGCATACAAATGAAAAAAAAAAACTTTATTATTATTATCGGGATGGTAGGCATCTAAAGTCAATGATTTTTTTTATATTTTCTTTATTTAAATTGGTTATTTATTTACAGTAATAATATTTGGTATTAAGGAAAGAGATTTAATTCATTTTTCCCTTGTTTTTTAAAATACCAATTTAGCTGCCTTTTATTCATATTTTAATGAGGCTTGAATTATTTCTTCTTTTACGATTCCTCCTCGTTTAAGTACGCGGTAAACAATACACAATGTGTATACGCCCGCTCTCGTCCTGTTTCCCCTTTGCATTATAATTCTAAGCATGTTAAAAAGATTTTATAAAAATGCTTTCCACTTCCGTTGTCCCTCCCCTTGATTAACATTTTTCAATGTAAGAACAGGCAACGAACCGCTTATGGCATTTCTAGAAAAATTTTATGATTACAAGAAAAAAAAAAAAAAAAAAAACAAACACAGGGAGATGAAGCGAAAAGTTTAACACAAAATTAAAACAAAAGCAAAAAAAAAAATAAATAAAAGAAAAAATTAAAATAAAAATAAAAAGGAATTTAATCCAATGATGAAGTTTTACCGCAGTATTTTGATTAGTTTAAATGTTAACGAGTAGCAAGCACTTTACGCTTCATTGTGATTTTTAAAGACTAATAAAAAAAAAAAAATTTTTTTTTTTTTTTTTTTTTGTACCCCAACGTCATTGAAAAAACAAACCAGGAAATCAGGGCATGTTGAAAATGCGTTCGGTTTTTGGGGGACGTGATAGGATTTGTATGTAGAATGTAAGCAATAGGTTAAAAGTTTTAAAACGGCGCTAAACCACGTACATGTACACGTACATGTTAGTCTTTAATGGCTGGCTTTGAAGTTTGTTTGTTTTCTCGCGGGCAAAAGATAATTAACTTCTTTTTCATGAAGCACTAATCTTGCGAATGTCAAACGGATCATTAGATATGTAAACTCAAAGAAATGGTAAATAGAAGGACCTTTACAAAAAATTGAAAACTCTATTAAAAACAAAGTAATTGCAAATTGACGCTAAAAAGAGGAAGAAAGGAGTAGGAGTTTGTTTTCCACTTTGAATGAATTTTTTCCCATTCAATCCATCGTCGTTGTAATTGTATTTTTTAACAGTTAAAGTACAATAAGCCCAGCAAACAGCAAACTACGAAGAGGAAATGTCTGCTGCGCTATATTACATTGCTCGCCTAGAACAACCTATTTAATGAAGCAGATTGGGGATAGGAAGGGGAGTGCGGTAGCCTGACGCACGTCAAAGTGAGACTCGGAGATAGGAAACAACCTTTATTATAGAATCAGCAGGCAGCAGAAATAGACTAAAGACCGATGATTCCCTCTATAAGGCAGCGAATGCAAAGCGAAAGAATTAAATTTTCATTGAAAGTTATATGAAAGTGCAAGATTATACTCTTATCAGGCAATGCTACGAGTAATTCGTTCACAGCAATGAGGATACTTTCGTTGCTTTCATCATTTAATGGTTATTAGTTGCTTCTATTAATTACACTCGTTACTTTTCTTAGAAAATATCACTACTATGAACTCTTTTATTATTGTTACTCTTTGCACCCTACACCACTTGTGTTACAGGGTATATTAAAGTAGTGCTGATCTATGTAACAAGCAGAAGGGCTTACGACAGACCTATCTTTTATTATACCGTTCGGTTCAGAATCTTAATATAAATTAATCTAAGCATGTTTGTCCGTCTAATGTCTGTCCGCGTAGTTATGTGTTCAAGCTTCAGGTCACTGTTTTTGACACATTTTCATGAAATTTTTCATGAAAACCTATATATAGGGTAGAGAACCTAAGAAATAGTCCGAAGATTTTCATCATGAAGCATTGGAAAATTAAATCTTTTTATCATATGAGGTTCAGTTTCCGTTATATGAGAAGGGTATCAAAAAATTGCCTCAGGTTAGGCGGACTGTCTGTCCGCCTAGAAAATGATTCTGAATCGATCGGTGTAATAAAAGTTGAGTCGCATCTTAAGCGCTTCTTTCAAGTTGTGTAGGGCATAAAAATTGAAAATCATAAATTGTGCACATGACGCAGAACTGAAAATTGAGAAAGAAACTTATCGACAGATTTTGCTCCAAGTGGTGAGCTTTGTTGTTTCATAACAAAAATTAATTGAAGCCGTCACAGCTGAGACGAACTTAACGTTCAACAAAAAAAAAGAAGAAGACATGAATGAGAATAAAGGCAATGCAATCAGAAACAGTAAAATAGGACGATTATCAAAGAATCCAATCCGTAGATAAGCAACATTCTGCACGTTTGCATAACTAACAGAGAATATGCACATACATGTTAACACAAAATATATTGAAATTTGAAATATTTAATATTAATTAGCTTTAATTAATTTCAACCGTTGCCTCTTTGTTTGTTTTTAAAAAATATTATTTATAATAATTATGTGCATAGATTAGCCAAAACAAGAATAATGTGTATGAAGTGATTGTAACCTGAGGTAGTGCAGTGTAGGCGGCGATCCTGATAAAATTGAAAATTTAATAAATTGGTTTTGTGTATCATTTTTAATTTCTATTATGTTATATTTAATTGTCATTGTAATTAAAAGTATCATTAATACATACGAGTGAAGTGCGAGTATTATTATGTTCTACAGTCTAATACACTTAACTGCATATATTTATACCGCACGTTAGGTACTGATATCGTCGTACAAAGTAGGCTATAAGTACTTATGTAGGACATTATGGTAACTATATGTACGGTAATGTAGCGTAATGTAGCGATAGCCTAAGTACTGCTTTTATAATTGAAATACAAACGTCATCATGTAAGGTCTAATATCGTAATGTGAGTAAGTATCTACATCGTAACTGATTATGATCTCTAAAACTTCATATTTATGGATGGTACACTCTATGTTAGATTTTTTGCTCCGAGTATTCATTCTCTCAGTTATTGTATGTAAAATATCTGTTGCTTGACGAGTCGGTTAAGAGAGAATACATGTTTAAATTTTTACATGTTTATCTTAAGCCTAACTAGCTTATCGAAGATATGCCTGCTAATTAGCCGATTACATTTTTTTTTTTTTTATTTTAAAAATCAAGATCGAATTGCATAAGCGACCGCTGCAAGTACGTTACTTGTACCATGATAACATAATGCGCAATAGGCGCATCACCTAAGTACTCATTAACTTAATAATAATATTTAGCGAACTGTAATACGTTTTATTTTTAGTAGTAAGGAAGATATAAGTGGGAAATAAGAGGGAGATAAGTGGGAGGAAATTACACGCATCTTAAAGCAAACTTGTTGACACCTGTCACTTGTGTAATTAACGCAATTTGCAATTAATGAAAATTATTTTCATAAAATTTAAATGATTGTCTTGCAAACGCAACTTCGCAGTTATACGTGTAAGTATCCTGATGGGCAGGTTTTACAAATACGGCAGGCCTTTCAGATATTACTACAATGCAACGTCACCAAAGAGTTGCGAAGATTACCATAAATACAAGATTTTTCTTTTTCGCCCTTTTTTTTTCATCACCTTGCATCCTCCTTATATTATCCAGAAAAAAGTAAGAAAATTACATTCGGCCGTGACTGTAGCTTTTATATTCACCATCATCTTAACCTTAAAAG